TTAATATTTTTTCTAATTTTTCTATATTTTTTCTTTATTTTTCTATATATTTATAATTTATTTTTATTTATTTTCATAAAGTTTAAATTATTTCATAGTAGTTTATTCACGTCGTATGCTCTAATATGCTCCAATATGTTTCTACAATAGCACCTACTTCACTTCAAATTCGTTAGAATGTGATGCGAAAGAATCTAGTGAGTCTTTGCGAGAAATTTTAACAGAGTGAAAAAAGGATGAAAAGAGAAAGAAGTTTAGGTGGTAACCATAACTAGGTAACTTACTTTCGTATGTATACACTCCATTTTGGACAACACTAACATCAAAGGTGTCGACAGAGAGTTGCACTACTGTATACACTGTGATATTGTACTTATAAATTGGTTATCAAGCAGAATTATTAAGTCATTATGATATCAAAATAATATGTCAAAATGACCCCAAAATGATTATTAAATGAATTCATTTCTATTTTAACGTATATCGTGATTTTAAAGTTATTTTTCAATCATTTCCGATTTTAATGTCAATTTGACATTGGCTGCAGTCGATTTGGACACTCACGCGCTTTAAGCGCTTATAATCATCATTTGTTTATCATTCTTTAGATGTAAAGTAAGAATAGAAGTACTGAAAAGCGCTGAAAATGTTGAAATCGATCGCAGCTTTGATCTGCCTGGATACAAAGTCAAAAATGAATAACTTGTTTGATGTCATGAGAGTGTTTACAACGCTGGGAAATCAAAACAAACCGTTAAAAATAGCGCTTATTATAAGTGTAAGTACGTGAAAAGCGAACGCATCTAAAATGTACATAATCCATTAATATAATTTAGTATAAATGAGAGATTACACTGTAAAAAAAAAAAATTTTTTTACATTTGTATTAATTGTAAGGGATTTGTGATTAATCACTTAATTATGTAAACTGGAATGTCCATATGTGTAAAATTATAAGCAAATGAAAGAGAAAGTGTACTACTAGTAGAGTCATTAGTAAGATTATCTTTTCTGGAAAAGTAATAATAACTATTTTAAGTTGATTGATTTTTGTGCAATATATATGTATCTATTGAATTATTACGGTTTCAAATCGAAATAGAAGTTGACAAAGATGTTCAGTTCATTAAGACTGGTTACGATGCGCTCGCACAAGAATCGTGCTAGGCCAGGAAGTGTTGCTACATCTGCAAGTTCCGATTCAAGAACAGAAGAGACATTAACACAGATACAATATCATCCTCATAATTTTCTATTACTGGATGATCAAGAAGTGAATATTTTTGGCGCGTTGTCGTCGCTTTCTAGCGTCTCATCAAAAGTCGCGCAAGTGAAAGTGGAGCGCGAAGACGGTAGTCTCGGTGTAACTCTTCGTGGAGGAATGTCAAGAGCATTGGTAGTGACGGGGATAAAAGCGGACGGTCCAGCCGCCAAAGAGGGTAGAGTCAGGCCCGGTGATCGATTGTTGGCGGTAGATGATACTGACTTGAGGGGACTCACTTTAACGGAGGCACAACACGCACTTAAAAGGAACTCGGACACACCGATCGCATCTCTCACAATCGAGTATGACGTCGCAAATATGGAGGAGACACGGATAGTCACTTCGGGTCCGTTGCTTGTTCAATTGGAACGTGATCTCTCAGGTATACTGCCTTTCCTTCAGATATAAACACTCTTTTTCTATTTATAAAAAATAAAAAAAACAATTCTCGAAAATGTTAAATACAAGAGAATAAATAAGGACTAATGAAAGTGTGTATTTTGGTGTGTAATCAATATGAAAATTTCAAATTTAATAAATAATAAACGTAATTACAGACGTTTCGGCTTTTCTTCAAGCTCCATGAATTATAGTAGAAGTATATTGGAGCATACTAGAAGGTTTACAGATTATCGCCGTGTTTTTATCCATTGCTAATGCCAATGTTTTGTGAACCTTGTTATTCACTTTATTCACTCAGTGCGAGAAGCATATTCATATGATACGTATCAGTATGCTCCTCTTCCTGATAAGTAAATAGCAAGATTTTTGAAACGTTGCTCTTAGCAATGGATAAAAACATGGCAATAACTTGCAAATCTTCTGGTATCTTTGAAGAAAATACCCGTGAAAGCCTCAAAATCATGTTGGAGCTTATTGAAACATGTGATACGAACAAACCTCTAATTTCTGTGGAATGTCAATCAATCAATGCTGTGTTCAGCAGAGTGGGTGCATCGGGTCGTTGTGCAATCGGATCTGTGTGTAATCGGGTCGGTGCGCAATCGGATCAATGGGCAATCGGGTCTGTGTCCTAATGCTATGTATCCAATTGGGTCCGTGTCCAATCAAATCTGTGTCCGATCGGGTCCGTGTCCAGTCGGATCCGTGTTCAATCAATAATGTGCGCAATCGAGCTTCACTCTTTTCAAAAGCTGACTTTTTCTGATTCAAAATGGCGTATTCAAGATGACGACTGATTTCAGTAGTCTTAGCAAAAGTCAATTAATTTGCTAATCACCTATTTAGCAATGAAAAAGAAGTCAAAATCGAATCTACGTTTACTTGGTTACTCTACCAAACGTGATAACTTCAGATCGAGTTATTTTTCACCGTAATGCATTGCTAAGTAGGTTAGCAAAGTAGTTGAATTTTGTTAAGACTACTGTGAAATCGGCCACCATCTTGGATACGCCATTTTGAATTTAAAAAAGCCGGCTTTTGAAAGTAGGTGTCACAAGCTTTAATTTGAGCCGTCACAGACTTCATTTTTTTCAAAACTGTTCTGGGGGGATCCGCTTCATGGAGAATGCCTCTATAGTATTTCCCTAGTTTGCATATATGCATATATACTTTTCAAGAATAAGAACCCAAGACTAAATTTTTAAATCCTTTACAACTAATATTAAAATCAACTTTTTTCACCATCGATGGCAATTTACAGACAGAAATTCGGAACTCTCATGGAATCTCCCATCATTGCTTGATTTAGGGTATATCCACACAAACTTGTAAAGCTGCATAAACATATGCATAAAAAAATTATTCAATCACATTTTATGTGCATCTTTATAAGAGAAATGCGATTGAATAATTTTCTTTATGCATACGTTTCTGCGGCAAGTTTATGTGGATATACTCTTCATGCAGTATCTTGAGAAAAATGCCTTGAAAAGATTTGGAATTGAGGTACCATTCTTTATCAGATATGTTGGAGATATAGAATTTAACACACTCCATAAACCAATTTATCATAACCAATTTTTTCTGTAAGGTACTTCAGTTTCTTGTCCCTCCATCTTCTCTCAGAGAGCTGTTTTGACATGATAGAATGTTTTTATTGTCACACCCCAAATGTCATGAGGAGAATCTTATATTTATTATTAACATTTTTTCAGAAAATGATTATTCCATCATATTTATTTTTGACATGATGAACTCTTGTCTTAGATCTTTATTCAAACGTAAGACGCTCAATTAAAAATATAAATGTTAAATATTAATCTCCCGAAATTAAAAAATATAATAAAATATAATAGGCAATAAGAGCATTAACACAGCGCGGAAAGTGATGCGCAAATTTCAATATAATTAACCAATCATGTCTACATAAAATATAAATGTACAATAATTATCTGTACCATCTTATTTGAACGTTTCGATTTTCTTGAAATCATCATCAGCAAATCCATAAATATTTATCGTAGATGACAAAAATCTTGTGACAATGTTGAAATTCAAAATCTATGTAAAACTGAGAATGAGCATTTCCCTATACTTTTTGATTGGGAATAGCCATAATTTGTCTCTTCGTTTAAAAGCCAACTGATTTCATTCTCCATAGATCACAATTCGTTATTCCAAATGTCAGAAGTCAAGTTATATAAAGGATAACAAGAATATAAGACTTAGTTTTACTATATTATTTTATTATACGATATAAAATTATAACATATGTTATCCCACGGGAGTCAGTCACTTGACTTTTTAACGAAGAGACAAATTACAGCTATTCCCAATCAGAAAGTAGGGAAATGCTCATCCTCAGTCTTACATAGATTTCGAATTTCAACATTACAAGATTTTTCAAGCATCTACGTATTTATGATAAATATTTATGATTTGCTGATGATGGTTTCAAGAAAACCAAAACGTTCAAATAAGATGGTATAGATTATTGTACATTTATATTTTATGTAGACATTATTGATTAATTATATTGAAATTTGCGCACCAATTTTTGTGCTAAGTTACTGCTCTTATTGCTCATATATTTTATTATACAATATTTTATAAGACGCTCAAATTAACAGATTCCGTTAAACCGAAGAAAGAATGAAAAGAATAAGAAATCACGGTTTACATTAGTATTGTTAGACGGGCCGAATTTCAGACGCATGTGCATCCAATGCATGTAGTTTCAGTAACGTACCAGTTACTAGTAACAGAAGATCATTAATCCCCTATGTAAAATTTTTTCAAAAATATTGAAAATTTTAATATATTTTACATATTTTATGTGTACATATAGAAATATATTATATATATTTATATATATGTATACCTATGTAAAATATATAAAATATATTAAAATTTTAAGCGATGATGATCTATTTACTAGCGACCGGTACGTTATTGAAGCTACATTGGACGCGCATGCGCCTGAAATCCGACCCGTTTAACAACACTATTTATAATTCCTTTTTTACCTTTATAGAAAATTCAAGAACATTACATAAAACCTGAATGTCAAATTATTCTGATTCAGTATGAATAAGCTTGATGGAATTATCAAATCTCAGAAGGATGTTCTTTCGCATGGTTGTAAGAAAAATGTTGTATACAAAATTTGTTGCAAAAGTTGCAATGCATCATATGTTAAACAGAAGGAAAGAAAACTAAAAGCGAGAATTGCTGAGCATCGAAACAAGATTAATAGTAAATTTGGAAATCCGTCTGTCATCACGGAACACAGAAGAAAATTTGGACGTGACTTCGATTGGGAGAGCACAAAAATCTTGGATAACGAAAGATATTTGAGAAGAAAGAAAGAAAAGGTGATAAAGAGAAGAAGTAAGATGGAATATCAGTGCCTTAATTGGTTATATTCTTCAAACGAGCATGCGCGTTTATTTTTATCCATGCTGACATCAAAGGTGCCAATAAAGAGTTGCGTTACTGTATATACTGTGACAGAATGATGTCAGAGGCAAAATATCGGGGCAACTTAGGGTCTGAGCACAAGAATTGTAACATTTACTTAGACTTAAATTGTAAACATAAGTAACGCACAAGCTTTCACGTATGACGTACTGTGTCTCTAAGAGACGGCAATAAATCGTATGTCATATGTCAAAGCTTGTACGTTACTTTTACATCTACAACTTAAGTCTCTAAGTAAGTGTACGACAATTCTTGTGCTCAGACCTTCCCAGCAAACAAGAATGGATTAAAATGGATTAAAATTTTTTTAATGCGTACTTTAAATTAAACATGAAAATGGATTGAATGGATTGGATTTCAGCTGACACTAGTTTAATATTTTAAAAAATATTTATATTTAAGGGTTACAAATTTTATTCTTAAAACATTTGTAATAATTATACTTGACTCAAATTGGTTATATAAAAAACGCACCTTAGTGGGATTCGAACCTGCAATGGGACCTCTGGATTATGAATCTTCTACGTTACCTGCTACATCACTTCTTCAATTGGTAAATGTGTTATTCATTCTCTACTTCAATTACAATCAACTAAACTAGTAACGAAATTATATAAATATATTATAAATATATAAATATATAATAAAAATATTATTATTTATAACAGATATAATAAAGTATAAACAATTTACATTACTATGAGACAACATAGGTAAGTATTGGATAATCTAATCTCGTTTGGCCGATGCCACACGCCGTGATTAGCCTAATATTCGGGCTGTGTTCGACTTGGTTTGCGAGTGTTCACATCGATCATTTATTTTATTTCTAATCAAAGAGAAACAAAAAAATATAATTTAATTATTTTTACGTTACAACTTTTTTGAACTTAGTTAGATTAAAACGAAAAATTTTCTATTTATAATTTTGAATAATTTAAGTAGCATTTATGGTCTATTTTTAAATAAAAATTTGTTTATTCAATTAGATTGAAAAATTACATTTCATATTCAGAATATTGAATTGAATATTCACGTTGCACAGAAATTGCTGATATTATTTTTGAATTTAATTGAATTAAAAAATCTGTATTTCCTATTCACAATTCTAAATTGAGTAGTATTCACGATGTGCTAGAAAATGCTAATATTATTTTTAGCCATAGAGATGTTCTGTGCAATTTCTATAAATGAATAAAAATGCATTCAAGAATGAAAAGGATTCATTTTAACATTCATGAATCCGTATTTCTAAAAATCTGAATCCATTTTAAATCCATTTCAATCCATTCTCGTTTGCTGGGCTTACAATAACTCTGGCAAATACGCCGCGCTAGGATTTACCTACAGAAATCAGAAAAAATAGAAGGAATGGGGATAATTTTCCTGCAACTATTCTATTACATGCCTTTATATTTTATTAATATTGAGTTATGATTTCAGCTTTTTACTGTTAATATTAATGAAATTATTATGAACTGAATCGATTTATCTATAATAAGTAGCGCCATTATAAATTATAATCTATATAAAATTATTATATCTGTAGGGAGTGATTTAGTAGTATTTTATGATATACGTGTACAGGAATAATAAAGCATGTTGTATAACAATCCAGCAAACGAGAATGAATTGAAATGAATTGGAATGGATTCAGATTTTCAGAAATAGTTTTTCAATCCAATTGCATCCAATTGAATCTAATTGAATCCAATTAAATCCAATTAAATCCAAAAAAAATATTCGCTATTTAAAATACGCATTCAGATAGAAAAAAATTTCAATCCATTTTAATCCATTCTCGTTTGCTGGGAAAATACAAATGCTTTGCTTTCGTATTCTTTGTTTAATTTGTTGTCTTGTATATCATACCTGTTTGGGATATACATTTTTAATGGACGGGATTTATGCCCAAAATATAAAGTGTGCAGATTGAATTCATTGCACTAAATTCAATGAACACATTACATGAAACATGTATCTCATGTCATAACACTTGTAATATAGTAGGAAGATTGTAATTATTATTTATTACATCATATACATATTTATCATGCTTAATAAAACTTTATAAATGCATTTTAGAAGTTACTGTGTCATTTTATGTCTTATTTGCATATTATTTGTAAATTTTTCATGAGCCGTACATACTTTCCCCTCCCTCTATAAGTAGCCATATATCCCACTTCTACAGGATATACGGCAAAAGTGCAAGGGTTTCAAAAAGTTCATTTTTTAATACGAAAAATAAATATTTTTCTAATATTTTTCTAATATTTTTTTCATAGTAATAAACAATACAAAGTTTTTACTGATATAATTCGTTTACTTTAAACATAGTAAATAATACTTAATAAATTAAGTTTTTGATAGGTGCGGCATATATATCGCATCTTGACATTTTTATTACTGAAGAAAATAAAATAAGGTAAAGGTAATACTCAAGAATCTTCCTCACTGATTTTGATGAAATTAAAACAAAAAATATTTATTCCAGCCTCTCATTTACATGTTCTCATATCTCTATACCATTAATGTGATAGATTTTCTAATTTTAATAGTTGTTAACTATAACGATTAATATCTCTATCTGGGATAGAGCGTCACTTTTTTCTGCCACATTCGTTCATTTCATGCAAAAACGCATCGAATGAATCTAATTTCATTAAAATCGATGAGGAAAGTAGAAATTTTTAGTACCACGAAGTACGAGATAAGGGACATTCAACTCCGTGAAAAAAAGTGGAATCATTTCGTGGAATTGGGAGGGAATCCGCTACTGGAATATCCTAATTTGGACGTCATTTGCAATATCAACCTTACCTCATTTAGG